GTCACGCGGGACATTCAAATGTCCTCGCAAACAAAATGGTGGTGGATTTATACGCGGGTAAATAAAACACTCCAATCAACCCATGGGACTGCGAGAGGCGAGGGGCTGGAAATTCCTCAGGATTTTTTGTGATTTCACAAACGTGAATCCATGCGCAGCTCCTTGAGTCAATTGTTGAACGCATTATATTTAGTCGACGCGACTTTATTTACAATAACATCCCAAGCGAAAGAAGAAAAAAACATGGCCAAAGGGAGTTGCGGGGGTCAAGAACGACAGAGGTACAGCAGCCAACTGCAGGATGGGTACCTATATATGTTGCAAGAAGCACAGGGAAAGGCGCATCGAAAAAGACTCAGCCCGAGTCGTGGGGGGTGGCCGTGAGTCATGAGAATCCTGAGAGAAGCCGAGATCGAGAAAACAGAGGAGCCTGGAAGGGGATATCTTTCCAAATCGAAAAGATCCATTCCAGGGAGTAGAGCGAACGACCAAGCGAGTGAGCCCGGGGACAGCCATTTCCCTCGTCTTTTCTTTTTACAGCCCGGCCGGCGGCTCTCCGTCACCATCTACCCCTTTCTTTTTTTCTTTTTTTTTCATCCTAACACGATCAGCATCCGCGCGCTTCGGACCCCCCCCCCCCTTGGCTGAGTGATGCGAGTAAAGTGCCATGGTGGAAGGGAGAGCGTGAAAGAGAGAGACAAATGCCGCCCCAATCGATATGACGGAGGTGGGTTGCTTGCGAGTGTGGTGCTGTGTGTTTTCTTGCACTGCAAGGAGAGGAGGAGGAAAAAAAAAGGCTGAGTTGATTTTTTCGAGGCCGAGTTTTTTGGAATGAAGGTATCACATGGGGGGGGGGGAGCGCTGAAAGGCCCGGGAGGGAAAGGTCTTCGACGGGGCCAGGGATTAGAGAGCCCAGATGCTCCCAGCTGTCGAGAAATCATATAACCCGGGAGATTGGATTTTTTTCCTCTCTTTTTTCCTCTCGTCATTTTCTTTCATTTGTCCGGGAAGGTGGTAGAAACTCGCGAGATTAGATTTGTACTTTAGGGGGTCTTTTTTCGGGCTAGGATTCGGACTGCATATCGCTGATTTTTGCGAGCGGGCTAATGGAGGGTACTGGGAATCGCGTGTCTGACCGTACTTTGACTTTGACTACTTTCGGCGGGAGGCGAGGCATCGACACCTTTTTTTTACACAGAACATACGATATTGAATCGGGTGAGATGAATTAATTACGAACCAAACACTTGAAAGAGATTGCCCTTATTGTTCAACTCTCCTATTCGAGATTTTGCGGATGTCCTGTTGGTGACCAAGTAACCTATCCTTTGAACAAATACCATTGGATATCGCATACTAAAATCTTTAATTAAAAAAAAAAATATACTGCTTTCCATTTGATTTTCAAAACTTTAAATACAAATCACAAATGGTTATAACTGCTGCCACAATTATTATTATTATTATTATTTTTTTTTTTTTTATTATTTTTACTTCAGAAGCTATTACATTGAGGTTTCAAAAATGTATCGATTCAAGTGAGTTGAAAAAAAACTTTTGCAGTAATTGTCGATAATTTTTTACATTGTAACTAAAAATTATACTAAGTAAATAATTGTTGTTTTAAAATTAAGTGCACCATCGTGATAAGCATAGCGTGTCGCGTGGATGTACACACTTGTATCTAATCATTTATTGGTGATTATGAAAAAAAATGATAATAATTTTCATTAGTGATTTTAACGTTTTTAGCACACTTTTAGTGTCGATCGCATTATACCAAAGGCCCTAGGTAATACATGAAAAGTTACAAAACCAGCTGCTATTGTGAATCATCATACAATGATACAATAAAAATGAAAGTAAAAAAAAGAAACCCGGTACCGAATTGCCCACGAAACAACAAATCTCGGCAACACAAGCGCAAAACCCTCGTCGCGGCTATTTTCCGGGCCCGTGTACGTGGGCGTACATGTATACGCGCGTGTCCCAGGCAGCCTTTCATTTTCACGGCAGTTTAACGAAACCACCGGCTGCCAACGCCGCCGGCGCGACCACCACCACCGCGATCGCCCCCCCAACCCCTCTCTTTTCCAGTTAAAGAGATCGAGCGCACGAAAAGCGGAAATCGCTCCTGGCGCGAATTACGGACGCGAAAAATAGTTGGGAGCTCGGTGTGTACGTACAGGATCGAAAGGGGGGAGAAAAAGCCTCTTAATCGACGTGCTTCATCGCCGAGCCGCGGGGGATTATCGTTATTTTGGTCGCTCGAGTACGATAAACGCGCGCTTTTTCCCGTTCGGCTTTTTCTCCCGATTTCATACATATACACATAGTAAAGCCCACCGTGCCCCCCGTGAAATAACGACGCGAACGCTTACACTTTTAGGAGAGAGATGATTATCGCTCGCTGCTGCTACGTGCAGTATATACGGGGGGGATTGTTTATTTCAAGTGCACCAGCTGACGGTGGAGGGAAAAAAAAAAAAATACCGTCGACAATTGAGGAAGAGCATCGAAAGCTCTTTTTTCGTGGCCTTTCAAAGGTAATGCACGACCGTTGTTTTTTGGATTTTGTTTTTCCCTTGATGCTTGGCTGTTCTGTTAAACTAAAGTACTCGCTCGATTGGGGTGCTCGTTTTCACAAGGTAGCTGTTATCACCTGGTGGGGCGTGAGGAAGAAAAACGCCGCCAAAGATCTTCATTCCCCTGTCTCGTTAGCATTCGGTCGATGAAGATCGGTGTGTCGGCTCGAGTCACGCGAAACGGATCCCCCCTCAAGTTGGAAATAAAATTACGCCTTGCCCATTGCCGAGTGGTTTCGATCAATTACCAGAAGAGTCGGGAGAGCCGGAGCAGAGCGCGGTTTCGGCGGGTGATTAGCAATGAAAAAAAAGAAGAAAAAAAGTGGTTGCTTGGCCGAAAAAGGGCAAAGAGCGGTGGGGAAGAGGAAGTAAGTAACCCTCAATCAGGACAATTCGAGTGAAACGTTTTCTTCCTCCTCGTGCCACCCTCCACTGCCTGTCGATTCAATTTGCTCGTCAGCTTTTTCCGACCTTTTTGTTTGAGGAGCAAAAAAAATAAAAAAAAGGAGAAGAAGAAATTAAAGCGTTTCGATGCTCTTGACTCGTTGCTATTGAAAAAGGAAGAAGTTTCATGGAGAGTCCGAGCAGGAGGCGAACGGAAGGAAGGACACTCGGGTGCGTTCGCGCGTAAAGGGTGTCAACCGATGCGTGCGATAGTAGCAAGGGGTAGTGAGCCTTAAAGAGGAGAGGACCGAGTGTTGAGGTAAAGACGAAAGGGTGCATGGTTGCGGAAGAAAAGGGGGAGAAGGGCTGGACGTCGAAGGGAAATACACAGGATGGATAGCGATTTACGATGTGTCGCAATGTTGAGCGTGGCTATTTTTGGTATTTGAGGAATTGGATACCTTTTTTCGTGGTGAACCAAGTGAGTTTGGCTGTGTACGTGTGCATAGGTTGGACCATTTTGTTGTCACATCTTGACCTGATGATTAACATTGTCAATGCTCGAATATGACCAAAAAAAATTAATTGCTTTTCTTAGCCATATAACTTATATAATATAACTTCAATGATGTTTCGTACAAATATTGTAAATCCAAATGAACGAAAATTTCTTGATACTTATCGATTGCCGAAATACCACATCGCGTGCACGATGTTCCTCGATTCTCCATCAAAAAAGTATCAATGTACCTAACGGTTGGAGGCAAAAATCGTACTTGGAGGGTATTTTGGGCAAAAAACCCAGTCAAATCGAAAATATTTAGTCGTGAAAAAAAGTAGCAACATTCCTCTTTATAGCCAGTGATTTTGCTTGCACGCAACACCAGCAAACTAACGTCCGAGAGAGACAAACAGCTCCGCGGTACGAGTAACAAAAAAAAAAAAAAAAAAAAGCGTACGCGGATAAAACACAGAGAGCACAGCGAGAAAAAGCTCGAAAGGGGGTGCGGTCGAAAGAAAGCAATACATTTGGCGCGATTAAAGAAAGCTCTCTGGGTCTCTTCCCTGATGGGGCGTAAACATCCCTTAATTGTTCTCGGGGAGGCCCCCCCCCCGGGGCTCACGTTACGGTGCTCCCGCCGAGAGGAAAGGAAAACGTTATAAACGTCGTTGTCGTTACGTCGTCGCGATTAGACGACGAAAAACAGGAGGCCACGCGGAGCTGCAAAAAAGGTGCGGCAGAGGGAGGGTAGGGGGAGTATGTACGTCATAATGTATGGATGTATGGAAAAGGATGCAGTTTTTGTCGGCCCCGATGACGTCTGAGCGCTGCTACCGTGAAGGGCCGTACTGTCTTGTAAAGCTGCATTTTATGGAAAAAGGAAGTCCCGGTTTTTTTTTGGTTTTTTTTAACTTTTGATTTTAATAGCATTAACGGGGAATATTGATCGAGATGTCGATGAGATTTTAAGAGAATTTCGTTCAGGACTTTCCGACTGCAGCGAGTTGCCTTTACAATTTTTTTTTATTTGAACAAATTATAAGGATATTAGGTTATTAATTTTATTTACATTATTAAAATCCTCCAATGGCCTGGGGACTCTTGTGCCAATTTTAAAGTGTCGATAACTACATGATTTCATAGAAAATTGAAAAAGTACATAAGCAACAATAAACTTTTCATTCATAATTGACTAATTACAAAATTAATACAAACGAGCGAACAAATGATCTGGTTGTGTAACTAGTGATGGCCTCGTTATAATTTTTGCAATATATATAAAATATAAAAGCTGATATAATAATAAAGCGCTTGTTACAACTAACTTTGTGTTAGTGTGGCGAACTTTGGCCCTCGGTTTACTTGTCATGGCATCGTAAATTATTTTTCTTTATGACTTAAATGGTATCGTTGGGCAAAATTTTACCATGAAAGTTTTTTCAGTCGAGCAAAATGTAAATATATATATATATAAGCCTCAGAAGCGAGAGAACTCGTCTTAAACTTTGTTTGTCTACTTTGTGTTGCAGAGACTGCAGGGTCGTGAGGGATCCACAGACGATGAAATCCAAAGGCTATGGCTTCGTCTCTTTCGTGAAAAAAGCGGTAAGTTTTTCATCACCATTTTTTTTTTATGCAAATGTAAAATTGTTTTTTTGCTTACATGATTATAGATCTCGGTGTATCTACTGGGAATTTGAAGAGATTTGTACATACATTTCGTACATTTCAAAATTCAAATTTCCAATTGCATCGGCTTTTTGAAAATCTTTACTTAGTTTTCGCCAACGTCTTTTACGTAGAAAAAGTCAAATTGGAAAATTTCACTCACGCGATGTGTCAGCTTTACATACTCTTTATATTTTTCGACGAAAAATATTTCGACAGATGAATTTTTTTATCGCTTCACATATTATTGACTACGTATTTTTTTCAATGTGCTTTTGACACACGTTCGAAAAAAATGATTACTATTCTAAGCAAAATTCTGTTAATTACATCTTTTAATGATAAAATTTGCTCCGCATCACCTGTTTTCACATCAACTAAAAATGAGTACTTTAATGTATTAATTTGTAGTAATTTTTTTTCCCACAATTATTTTTATTTTCATGTTTTCTCAATGATACATTTTACGTGTTGCGCTTTTACAAAGCCAAAAAAATATCAACTTTACACCCCATACTCCACATTTTCACACTCCTTTGAAAATTGTGGAATGCTATAATATTGTGCATTAGATTACATTGTATCAACTACAAACAAAGTCGTTGAAAAATTCTTTATTTTTACGTATAAAAATTGGAGATACAATGAAAAATATCGTATAAAACCTTGAGAATGTACAAATAGCTATAAACAATAACTTTATACTTTTTTTTGAATCAACAGCCGTAATCGTTGTCTAAAAAAAAAAGGAAAGGAAAAAAACAAATCTTTGAACGAGGAACCCTTTACACAAGGCCAGCCAGCGACAGTGGATCCTTACAAAAAGCCCGTCCCACTCCCTATGCAGAGCCCGCGCGCGCCCCTGTCGCTTGCCAGCTTCATTTTTCAGCGACTCTCTCGGCTGCCATAGACGTCGCCTGTCTCTTCACTTGCACCTCAATTCCCTCGCTCGTCCCTTCCATTCGAGACGTCTCGTTACAAGTGCGAAAGGTACAATCAAATTGTCAATTAGGAGGGGGGGCAGGGAATTTTCTCGTGTTTCGCGAGTGTCGTCCCATTCTTCCCCGACAGACTCTCCGAGGGAGTCTGTTTTTGCTCTATTTGGACATTCGCAGGGGGGAAAAAAAAAATTGAGGGAAGGCCGCTACGAGAGTTCGATCGACGCCTAATGGAATTCCGAGTCACTCTACGGCTCCTGTTGGCGCTGGTTTTTTTTTTTTCCCACGCACTGTACACGGCGAATCTTGCAAACGGGAGTGTACAAAAGGGGCTTTTGTGAAAAGCACTTTATTCATCGAATAGTCGCCAATTATTCCATTCGCGAATAATTACGGCGTTGGAAAAATTGCATTCGTCCGATCCTGCGTGCGCGTAAAAGGTATCGATTGGGTTAGTGGAACTCTATTTTTCTTTTTTTTTTTTTTTTTTTTCACCCACCGCTGCGAGGAAATTGATTAAACTCGTTGATTGCAAATGAAGATTTCAACTCGATGCGCGTTGCTCTGGAAACAAAAATTTTTTGTTCGTTCGGAGAAAGGGAGACGAGAACAACACTTGTTGTAACTTTAATTTGTAACCGAGTACACGACTCTGTTTGTACATCACGTGATTAAATTCATCCAACTAGTAGCGAAAAATTGTATCTTTGCAAACTTTACTTGCATAAACTGATCCCGACCCTCGAAAATAATACCATCGATTTTTCACCATGTACAGGCGCAAAGTACAACTTGCGTTCTCGAAGGACGAAATTAGTTGACGTTTCTTCTTACTGAGGGTTCAAAGTGCCCTTTGCGCTCGTGGTGAGCAATTTTATAGTTTTCCTCACTGGTACGAACTTTTCATTTTTTTCTACCGAGGGTCCAGGGTAAACTGCCAAAGGTAAAAAAAAAAAAGCTCAAAGAAGGGAAAAGTAGATTTCACTGCGTTAATTATTTTGACTCTCGGAGTATGAAATGTAACTTTTCACACCTACACAGAGAGTATAACGAAGAGTCAGATTCTAGCACCGCGTGCAAAGTTGTATTTTCGTACTCTAAAGTGCGGAAGATGATCAATTACCACACGAATACTCCCTTACTTAGCTGCACAGATAAGAGCACTTTGAAACGTATACATCCAAGCCCAAACCAGGAAAGCTCCGATGAAAAAATAAGAGGCAAACAAAAGAGAAAGGCAGAGCATCCGAAACTCAAACCTATTATCCACGCACGCCAAGGAGAAAACCATCAAAGAGAGCAGTGGTCAGCGTCGCAATGTAGACCCTCGTTTCCTCGGGCTCCCCCTTCGTTTTCTGCACGCGAAGGAAGTCTACGGCGCAGCCAGTCTTTCCGCGAGATCGACAAATTACTCGAATGATTGCGGATGTGGTGCATGAGCCCAACGCTACGGTAGAATACAAAACGTGGGCGATTAAAAAAGTATTTCCACAAGAGGGAGTGGCCCACGTCGTACGCAGCAACCCCTGGTCGCGGAGGGGGTACATCGAGATTTATTGTGCTCTGGCAATAGTAATCTCGGCGAGGGGAAGCTTTCCGATCGATCGCCCCGCGTTGGAAGCGAGACGATGGAACTGTATACGAGTCTTTAGAGACGAATTGACCGGCAGTTCGGTAAGGATGGATGGGAGGAACCCGAGCTGTTTAAGGGCCCATTCCACTTGATTTCGCGCTTTCAAAGGGGTCCACAACAAAATACCAACCGATACATTTTTTTATGATTGAAAATCGACGATTAATGGAGCTCATCCTTCGGATCTGAGGGCATTTGTTTTCCTTAATTATGCATCAGCGGTACACTGTGGTCCAGAGCTTTTCCTCCTGATTGAAGATGGCTGGATACGTATGTGTTTAACGTATACCAGCGAATTAATGTTTGCTCTGACAATACGTGTCACTTTGGCACAAATCAATCATAGATCAATCGTTGGAATTCAAGTTTGCCTTGGACGCAGCGTCGCTAGGCCTGAAGTTCTTTTGTTGCTAGATGCTTCCTGAAAATATTGACTCAATGATTATAAATTGTTAATCGTTACCATATCGAATTTGCAAGGACTCATCGAAGGGTGAAAAATGAAATGAAATTATTTCTTGGACAATTTTTCTCCCCCGTACCCCCTGCCATGAAAGTTCACCGCCTTCGTGCGGCAGGAGCCCCGTGGAAGCACGGTACGTCCGATATACCATTCGGCAATGCAGCGAATTACGGAAGCGGCCCGTTTGACCGAATAGCCTGGGCCGGTCGGGAAATCGACCTCGTCACGGCCCCCCTTTTCGCAAACACCGGCGCAATTCTCCCACCCGACGCCAATCGCCAAACAGACGGACGGTGGCTTCGAGGGATACCTAGGCACGATTCTTTCGCTCAATGGCCGATTGTACGCGCGTGTCCATCGGTACGCGGTTAATTAATTTCTCTCCTCGTGCTCCCCCACCCCATCCCGGCCGCCGAGGAAATTTCCCTTTGGCCGGTGCAGGTACGCGCTGAATTTTACCGTCTACGTGCCCTGCGTTGTATTCTCACTCGCCGAGTGTGCACGCGTGTGTGTATGCATGTGGCTCCAAAGGCCACTTTGGCATTCAACAAACGGCGGTGCATAATTAAATTGAACCCTCGTAATTAAATTACACCCCCCTGCACCCCAACCGCGTTTTGTTTTTTTTTTTTTTTTTTTTTTTTCATGCTCAGTCGAACTTTGGCAAAACCTATGTGCCAATTTCCAGAGGCTGATGTCAGCATCGGACGTTTGATGAAAATATTGAGGAGGCGAGGGGTGACGAAACGAATAATCATGCGGGTGATGGTTTTTCTGCGCCAACGTATATAGAAACCATGGGTTGAATTGCTTCGATTTCAATTTTCGGACATCGAGAGTATGGAAAATACATATATATGTGTCACGGTAAACTGCTATTATTAAAATTGGTATTTTACAACCGAAGACTCATCGGTCGACTTGTAAGCCGTTCAACTATTTCGGGATGTTGTTTGGAAAGTTGAACGAATTTCCATGTAAATTTCGCAAAAGATAAATAAAGAGGAAGAAGATGGCAACAGCATCACGGGAAGGGGATGGCTGTGTAAGCGTGCAGGTGGTGTATGGTGCAAGATACCATTATTCCGGACACCGAATTTTCGTTTAAAACTTGGTAACGGATCGTCATGGGTATTAATTTCAACGCGCACAAAGGCAAGCAGCTCTAGGCCCATCTTATTTTCTCGTTCCTTGGATAGTCAAGCCACGCGGAAGTTAATTCTGTTATTGTTGTTTTTTTCTTTTTTTTTTTTTTCCTTATTTAACGTGTACCGATAGCAAGTATATACGTATAAACTTCTAGGGGTTGGAAGGAGGGGGTAAGTTTCGAATATTCTCCCATCACGAAACCTCGTACACCCAGGGAATCAGGAGATTTTTTTATCCGTCGATCTTTACACTCAGGATTTCGGAGTAGCGAGAACTTGCATGGATTCCACGGACGCGATCGATATGACCAAAAATGGAATTCCTCTTGCATGAGATTTCAGAGAGGACAATGTTGCAGGGAACCACACACGTAAAACCTGCGCGATGAATTTTCAATGTTACTTGTGCATTTTCGACAACACCACTCCGACTCGTGTTTCACCGGATACGGGGATATTGGCAAATTATAATTTGATACAGAATGATAATGATCGGCTCTGTAATTGCGATCTCCGACAGCTGTCGACATGACCGAACCATACATATTACGTAATTCATGAGGATACCGAATCAGTAAAATCATCGATTCGTAATCCAAGAAAATATTGTAACTTGTGATATGTAAGTAGATAATGTGAGCCGTTAAAGTTTAAATCATTTTTTGCATTAAAAAAACCATGACGTGCTCCATCACGTGGTCCATCGAGATTTTAACTTAAAATTGTATCTCGTATCAAGTATCTTAAAAATCGTGTCTTGTGTAAGTACAGTACAGTGATTAATTCTATAGCACTAAATAAAATTACTGGTAAATTGTTTTTTTTTTTTTTTTTCGTGTATTCAATCGGCTCCTCATCAAGTATACCTCACTTTTTTCGGAAATGACCCCAGTTATCAAGTTTAATAAAAACACTCGCTTGCACAATGGACATCGATATTGCCACGATTACCCTAAAAGCTTCCATTCCCCGAGATGTTTGAGAATCAAAATTTAACCGGGTCTCGTTTAACGTCAACCCGTATGTACATATATGTACCGATATGGCCGATAAATCTGATTATCACACGACCCCCTGCCAGTCCCCCCGTAACTCTAAAACTAGCTCCACACTTCAGAAGCAAAGCTCCGCGTGGTTGTACGTATATATCGTACGAGACAAAAAGAGCGAGTTTCGCGCCGTAAACGAGAGCTGCGGTACTTGCCAGGCGAAAATTTTTTCCTCCCCCACCCCCTGAACAAAAAAAAAATCTCAGCAAACTATGAATACATTCAAGCGCGTCCTAGGATAAATATTAGCGCGCCCTTTNATACATATATATATATATATATATATATATATATACATAAGTACGTTTGGAGCTTTCTCTGTCTTTTGGTGAGGGAGTCCATCCGATTTATACGCGATCGCAGCCGTGGGTTGTGCGCTGTATGGGTTTCCTCGCCATAATTATGTAGGCAAGTTGCTGTTGTTGGCATCGATGACGGGGTTACTTCAAAGGGTGTACTCTTTACAGAAGATTTTTACTGGCTCAATGGGAGAAAGTACATTTAGAGGGTTTTGGGAGGGTTTTTACGTTCATTGGATCATTCTATTGTGGCATGGGTTGACAGACTTGGCACACGGATATTTGTTCAATTTATACATACATTATGTGCAATAATTTGTTAAAGGTGTAATTCATTTTGAGCTAAAAATAGTTGAATCTATGAAAAAGTTTTATTCCAAACATGATGCACAGTAATTTTTTACGTCAAAAATGTGCTGCACTTATCTATTTGTCCAGCTATTTGAAGCCACAAAAAGATTTTAAAAATTATTTGAGTGACTTGAGACTCATCAGGATGTACTTGAGACTTTGAATTTACCAAGAAAAACCTGAGAGTCTCGAGAAGGCTACGAAATTCGTAGAAATTCTTCATTGTAGGAAAAAAAGCACAATATTTGAATGAAACTCCCCGCAAATGGGGCAACGAAACGCTAACCCACTCCCTTACACGGCGGAGTGTCGATCCAAACGAGCGAGCCCTTAACTGATGCATGCGAATCGTGCTTGTTGCAGGAAGCGGAAAGTGCCATCGGCGCCATGAACGGACAGTGGCTTGGCAGCAGGAACATCCGGACGAATTGGGCGACCCGCAAGCCACCGGCGCCCAAATCTGAGGGTAAGTCGTCACGAGCTTTCTCTGTCCTTGGCCTCTCTCTCTCTCTCACTCTATCTCTAACTATCCATCTGTCCCTTCCACTTGTATTGTCATGCCCTAGTTGTGTCTCCTCGTACTCGATTTATCTTTTTCTTCTCTCTCTCTCTCATTATGACTCTCTTTGTTTATGTTTACGTAGATCTAATTTGTTGAATGTGTATACTTTCCTCCAACTCATTGTTATTGGTAACCTTTGAAGTATCTATATGGAATTTAGGAGTTTTTATGTCCTTGGACCCCCCAGTCAAAGTCTAATCAAGTCAAATCGAGCGTAGATCGGCAAAAAAACGTGCGTATAATCGTACCGAAAGACAATGGAAACAAAAAATTATTCGTTAATGAAACAATATTTAATCGCGTGTTTGCATCGTAAAACAAAAGCCCAAACTAGCGCAGGGTCCATTGCAGGTAGCCAAGAGGAGGGAAAATACTTGGACCGAGCAACTAAAAGGCACGTCAAAGGTTCACGTGTTCGCGGCGAAGAATTCAAGGTCGGATAGCAGTTTCCGCGAGCTCTGCGTGGCAAAAGACAAATAGGTTTTCAGATGTGCATCAGCTGTGTGTGTGAGGGGGAGGGGGAAAAAACTCCCGCTCGAGTTGTCGGGACAAGAGGATTATAGAGGGAAGTTGACTCTCGCTGCTTTTCTCCCTCCTCATCTTTCCTCTGAGCTATGGGTGTGTTTCATGTGCACGAGTGTCGCGAGAGTTGACTCTTTAAGAAGATTTTTCTGGTTACACGCGACAACGGAAACAACGAGCTCGTTACTTGAAGCTTTTCCGACTTTGATAACTTTTTTTTTTTTCTGTTCATCATATTTGGTTGAGAGAAATTTTTTATGGGGATAATGATGGTAAGAGGGCGGGGTTACTTGGGTATAAAAATAAGCCCTTTGTGAAATGACGATGTTTTGGATAGTAAGGTAAACCGATTGGAAATCGGTAGTCAGCCGTTAGTAATAAATGCGCTCAATTTTCCATCCCGTCGCGGTCGATTCGAATATAATTTAGGGCTGGAAAAATCTGATAGGTATATTGGATAAAATAGCACCGTCGACTACCTGATCTTTGGGAAAATGTAGGGCTTTGTTATTTTTAACAATAAAGTTAAAAAGATTGTTGGCCAACATCGATGGTTTCTCATTGGCTAAGAAATTGCGAACGAGGGTTTGACGCGATAATTCATGTACAGCCTGGACATTCGGATGTCTTTTTATTGCAGGTATACAATTTTACAAGTTAATCGATGGAAAACTAATTATTTATTTTAGGGTCGAGCTATAATACTATTTTAAATCCGAATCTAATGCATTAGATTTTATTCCACAGAATCATGTTAAACACTACGAATGTGTATTATATCAGTCTTATCGATCCTTCTGACATTTCATTTTGGGTGTGTGGTTTCCATTAGAAAAATGGTTTGTTTTTTTCTATTTTTTTTTTTTTTTTTGCACGAAAGAACAATTACAAGAAGACAGTTTATTATGTACCCGATCATACAATGTTTAGTGCAGTTATTAATTTTAAGTTTTATCAGCATATACCTAGGACTGTTTATCCCATTAATATTAAAAATCCACGGTTGTTCACTCCAGCCAATACAAAAAAGGAAAGAAAAAGAAAAAAAAAAGAAAGAAAAAAAAAGGATCACGGTGGAGAAGTAAAAACGAAAACCGGCAGGACAATCCAAGAGCAGTTTCCTCGAGAACCGAGTCCATACAGAAGGAGCACGAAAGCTCGTTCTCATGAATTAGTAACTGTCCGGTGGCTTTAGTTAGTAACCATCCGCGAGATCAGCATTCCGTTAAAGTGAATTGCGGGGAGTGGATAAAAGGACCTCCCCGGATCTCTTCTCTCTCTCTCCCTCTCCAATGTATGGAATCACAAGCTCCTAAGACGACGACGACCACCCGAAGCCGAAAATAAAGGAGGGCCCGGGGTATGAAAAAGTTATTCGCGCTCCAGCCCCCCTTATTTATGGAGCCGGGGAATCTCTTCCCCCCCCCCTCCTCATCGCGCCGTTATTACTACACGAGCCTCCGCAAGGAAGATTTAAAAGAGTCCCCCCCTTCAACGAGAAATTCGCGCTCGGATGCTCGGGTCTTTTGTATACACGTACTTGTTGGCTGGTCGGGGGACGAAACAAAAGTGGGCGAGCGACGGCGCGGATTTGTCACTCTCCGTCGCGGAGTGAATCATTCGGGTCGATAGTGGCTGCGAAACTGCGGCTTCGACGGCGCTTGGCACGCACTCGAAACCGAGAAAGGCCTGGAAAAAGGGAACGAGGCCGTCCGTATACGATGCAGCGAGGGCAAATCCAATTGGGGTTGTGTGAACTATACAAGAGCATAATGAGCTCTGGAGAGGGGCATGGGGGAGGGGGGTAGAAAAGACGCGCCCGAGAGGGTTATTGTATTATCATAAGCGGCTCTCCCTTCCCACGTTCCGTCTTGGACACGAACCTACGAGCTAACTAATTTCGTTCCGGCGAGTCTTTAATTAGTACTCGGGAGCCGGTGGCCGAACTTTTTCACTTACGCTGCGCGACGATCACGATGACGAGGAGGGAGGGTGAGGGAGAAAAAGTACACCGCGGGAGCTGGCTCGTCGGAATTTTCGGACCAACCGGACGGAGCGAAATTGAAAATTTCCTCTCCCCCCCTACCGGAGTCCGTCGAGTGCGCCGTCGTCGTTGTTTACGGGGTGTGGGTTTCGAGGGCTCTTTCCTCCCTTGGGTAGGATTAATTTGGATTGCTGTTGTTTTCGGGGGCTTTTTTTCCGCTGGAATTCGAGATTTTTTGGATTATGAGAAAACTACATTTCAACCGTAACTATGTCAACTAAACAAACATACTCTTCTTTTTTTTTAAATTTTTTCAACTGTTATCTTAAACTCGAATGAATGTTGGTCCCAAGTGCTTGGTTACTGCACATTTGTGACAATTTTCTTATTGGCAACGAGTCATGGGACTTAAAAAAAGGAGCAACTTGGAAAAGAAGTAGAAAAGGTCCTAGAGATACACGTATGGTCAGACAGCTACGGGAGGGGGAAGATGCCATTTTGGAGGCCGGTGCGTTTATTTGCATGGAAACTTAGCGCGAGAGTCTTTCTCTCTTTCAATTTCGGTCACTTAGGGTCGCCCATTGGGCAAAAATTCCTGTCAAAAAGTTGCGAGCGCCGCTCTTTGACTCCACCTCTCGTTTCTCTTAATTAATGCCCCGAGATTTTATTAAGACGGCCCTCGCGCTTGGCAAGTTCAATAGAAACTTTAGCCGCGATGGCTAATTAATCGTCGTTGTTGCCCCACCCCCCGGAATGACGGAAAATCATAGGGTTGGGAAGGAGGGTTTTCGAGTGGTAAGTAAGCGTCGGGAGTTTAATTGTTTTAGTTGCTCGCGGTAAGGCATTCCGTAGCTGTTGGAAATTAAAATCACGTCAATGCACGCGCCCTTTGCGCTCCTCCCTGTTCATTTTCATTTCGTACGAATTTTTGCTCGAATCGACAAAGTGTTGCACCCCAGGGTGACTTTTGATGGGAGCACCATCAAGGGCTCCAAGCTCTCGCTTATTACACATCGGACAATTAAATCCAATGGATTGATTCGAACTGCGAGTCTCGGTGGTATGAAAAGCGCAAAAGTGGGGCGCATCAGCGAAAATCAAAATTGCAAAGTCCCACTTGAGCGCTGCGGAGGAGCCTCAAAATTTCCCATGATCCAACCCCCTCCCCGGAGAGGAGGGACAACTCGAATGTACATATATATATATATATATATATATATTTTTTTTTCTTTTCGTTTTTATTATTTCGACGATCGCCGCTTCGCGAGAAGCAAGTATCTCGGGCGCGGCATTTGAAATTCAAAGTAGCTCGGGTGACACGACACAATGCCGAATCATACGCCGGAGACGAGCGTATGTATATGTACGAGCCCCTTGGAGGAAAAAGGGGAAATGAAGAGTCCTGGAGGACTGGCAAAGAAAAAAAGGAGACAACCGGCGAGTCCAGGGGTGGGGGGGTTAATATTTTATGCGGCTCAATTTTTCAAAAGGACCGCGCACGTACAGTGATGCTGGTAGCCGACTCATCTCACCCCTCCCTCTTTTCCCTGGCAAAAACGGGAGGAAGAGGAGGAACTTTCGCGAAAGTTTTTCCCAGCCTTTGACTTTTTTACATCCCCTCCTCCACCTGCTCCCGTCTCTTCCCCGTGAGCCTCTTTCCACGCGCACCTCTCTGATATCGTGAGGAGTATCCCGAAGCTCTCCTCTCCCCCTCCCGAAATTTGAGGCCTCGGGGGAGGGGGGGAAAAGTTTTGCGGATTCCGGAGAGAAAGGATTGAGTCCCGCGATATCCAGCCTCGAGCTTGGTTATTTACGTTTTGCCCTCTCTCTCCCTCTTTTTTCTCGGGGAGATACGCGCTTTTTCTCCCGGAATTTACGAACGCGGGATCTGCGATTGGATGACTCTTCGATCCCCCACTCGCTCGTCCTCGTCGGCAACAGAGGCCATTTACCTTATTATTTCCGAAATCAGTGCAGTTCCACCCTGTTTTGCGTAAATATTCGATGAAAAACAAAGAGTTTTGGCTCTGTGCTCTTCGTACCCCGTACACAAATGTATCGCGTTTCGCTTACATAATGCATGCACGTCTGTTACATATGTATCTCGGCCTTCTACCTGTGTAACTTGATATTCATGACTTTTACAAGCCCATCCGTTGCAAATATTGCAAAAGTTGTTCGCGTTTTACATCCCGTCCTTTTTCTTTCCACCGGTATACATACCCCTCGGCAAAATCTCGAATTTGTGTAGGTACATATACACCCACCAAGCGAATAATTATCACTTGTGTTCCAAATAAAACAGCATAACATACATCCACTTTCACGGATAGGGATTCGAGTCAAAAAAGGCCCGTATGTATATACGGATGATTTTCACGCGGTATTCCTCATCAGC